AAAGAGTGTTCCGAGGTGTTGAACCAACTACCTGCCACTCCAAACTCTTCTTCCATTTCATCTGCATCCAGTGATGCAGTCAATGATGAACAGAATAAGACTCTAGACCAAGCAGAAGAAGATGAAGAAGAAGAAGAAGGACAGCAAAAGACTAAGAAACAGTGGGTTTCTTTTACCTACCTCGTCACTTTTTTTGTTTTCTGAGGGATTACTTGAAAACCTTTATTTCTTTTTCTGATGAAAGGATAAGGATATGGTGGCCGGTGGGTTGTTTTTAATTTTGTGCAAGTATTTAGTGTTTTTTTTTTCCCCTACTTAACACAATCATACTCTAGTATTTAAGCCTGGGATTATGTTTCATTTTTTCCCCCTTTTTATGCGGTGGTGGTGGTGGGGTGAAGCTTCATTTTTCAAAAGTTAATTTTTCAATGGTTTTTAGGATGTGAAAAACACACAATTTGTGATGGTCAGTACGTGTTTTATATTTAATTTTGCTTTAATATGCAGCAAGAGAACATATATATATATCACCATCCGTTCCAATTCGATAAATAAATGAGATCATGGGAGTGCTTTTTGTTTTCTTTGTTGACCTTTCATTTTGAGATAAAATAAGAATACATATGATGCGGTTGATGTGAGGAAGGTTCTAAGATTTGATGGTTTCTGGGATCTGGTTCTTATTGGGTTTAGGTTGAAGCCGAAGAAGACAAATCAGAAGAGACAGAGAGAACCAAGATTCGCGTTCATGACGAAAAGCGAGGTCGATCATCTGGAAGATGGGTACAGATGGAGAAAGTACGGTCAAAAGGCCGTGAAAAACAGCCCCTTTCCCAGGTAACACATGCTTTAATTCTACCAATAAACTCTAAACTCTAATCTTAACTCTCAACACCTACTTACTTCTCTTAATTGCTTTAATTCACCTGCACCCAAACAAAATAAACTAATAAATAGTCTTAACATGTAGGAGCTACTATCGTTGCACCAGTGTTTCATGTAATGTGAAGAAGCGCGTGGAACGATCTTTCACTGATCCAAGCGTTGTGGTGACAACCTATGAAGGCCAACACACACATCCAAGCCCAGTTATGCCACGCTCAGGTGTCTCCGCTGGATACGCTACCAACTTTGGTTCGGTTTTCCCACCAGGAAACTACTTATCGCAGTATCAACACCAGCACCACAACCATCAACAACAACAACTTTTCAACACATTGTCCTCTTTGAGTTTCCCTTATAATGATTCTTCTGCAAAGAACGCTGGTTTTACCCAAGAGAGACGACTTTGTAATCCTGGGACGAATGCATTTCTAAGGGACCATGGGCTTCTTCAAGATGTTGTTCCTTCACACATGTTGAAAGAAGAGTAGAGCTGATATAACCTCATTACTCCTGCTTCTATGTGATTTATTTTTTGCTGACTTTTTTCCTATGGGACTTAGCTGAGAACTTCAGTGCTGGTACATGTAATTTTTCTTCCTGACCGGTGGTAATATTAGTGATCATCATCATATATACTTGTAAAACCCGTTTTATCTTTTTGCATATAGCCCATCGTGATTATGGCTGTAACATGTTGGGATTATGATCTAATGCAGGGACTACTTCTAGTTATTTTGCTTCGATATTAATCTTCTTATATAGAATAACACAAGAAAAAAAAGAAAAGAGAAAAAAGCATTCGTTGGTGGGTTGGGCTGTGTGTGAAAATGATAAAAAAAAAAAGAAAAAAGAAATAGGTAAATAGGCTTCTGTCTTCTTTTTAATATTCTGATTCTGACTCCTCGTTTGTCTTGTATTTTTGTTTCTTTTTGTTGAAGGAATGTGCATTGATTTCACAGATGCACAGCAGTGAAGATTGTTAGGTTAAGGTTTTTAAACGGGAACAATTGGTGAGGAAAGTTTCCTTGCTTTGTTTTGTTCCCGGAATTCGACCGCAAACTAATTATAGATAAATGTTTTTTCAAATTAGGAGGATATGGTGCTAAAAGTCTTATCCCAATATGGGTACGAGGTTATTAATAGGAAGAGTAATTCAACCACTCCCCGATCCATTTAGAGTTGGATGAGTAAATGCCTCTCTGTATCCTGCACGCGATGCAATCCATTGATGGATTGAAGAGTGGTGGAGAGGAGGGGAATTTAAGAAGAACACAAACAAAAGGAGAAACATTTATACAAAGCTAAGCATATCGAGTGTGATATGGTCACTATGATGGAATAGATCTTGATAACGACACATGTTAGCTTTTATTTAAGAAGGTATCAAGACAGGTCGTGCTTGTTTACAAGTTTTGTTTTATTGAGCAGGCGAGGCTCTCATCGTGAAGAATAATTCAAGTTTTTGATATATAGCCGTTCACGGATAGGCATAGGCTAACATATTGTGAGATGTTATATACGACACGCCACCGTCAAAGAACCACTGGGGCCACCTCTCTTTTCTCTTGTACGCTTTCGTTTTCTTTCTCTTTAACGGCAAATGCCAAATACATTGCATCGAATTGAAATCCTTCACTTTCTTCACCATAAAGCAGGGAATAATTAGCAACACTGCTCTCTTCTTCTAAAGCCAAAATTGTCTCTTGATTTCCCTATTTCTTCTATTATTTCGGCCAATAGACAAATAAATGCCGCGCATTACGACCTTGTTGACTTGATTAAACAAACCATATGTTAAACTTTGTATAAAAAGGGAATACAAATCCATGATCCTTTTAGGATCCAGTTTCTAGATAGTCGAAAAGAACACAGAAACCTCAACAATCAATTACAATTTTAACATCAAAAGCAACACGAATGTATGAAACGGGTATTTTTGCACCGTTTATCACATGACATTACTTAAACATAAGACGCCATTTATGTCAAATTCCAGTATAGACAATAACTTTTCGTGTTAATTTTTTAGTAATACACCGAGCAGACAGCGAATCTAAATTGTGTGGTGCCTACAGTAGTAGTGGAGCCACATTTCTTATCTTGCCTTGTAGGCTTAATTTAGTTTCTTATTCCTCTCTCACCTACAAGTGATCCAAGTACGAATAAAAATCCAAAGATTTCTTTGATTGACAAGCCAAGTATGAAATGCTATCATTCGTGAAAACGTGAATCAACAGCAGCAATAACCTGCCCCCACCAAAAAAATGGAAAAGCCTGGCACGGCATCATGAAATGCAAATAGCACAGCACGCCTTATTCAGAACAAAAAATGGTCCATTTTTTTTTTTCCTGATGTGTAGGGGATGGGTTGTTTTACAATCACATGAATTATCCTACTTCCACATGTTTAAATACTTTTAGTTGAGAACAATTTAGCGCATTATTTGGATATCTAGCTATCAGAGTGCAATATATTACCCAGAATATATCCTTCCGAAGTGCACTTCCTGGTATATATGAAAATAGAAACGCAACAAATTTTCCCCAATAGCAAGATTTGACTGCTGTAAATTGAGAAAGTGAGATTTTATCCACCATTGATTTAGAGTGGTTTACAATTATAAGGTACTTTTAATTTAAATCAACAATGGTTAGACTTTCACTTTCTTACTCTACATCTCTCCTTAATTGCTTGAGAGGTGTTAAATCCGAATTAAACAAAGAATAGTAGTTTATGATAAAAGGGTGCATTTGTATAACACACTAGTATATCAAGTTATTTATGTTAGTTACATATTGTTACGCATTAGCTTGAATTGGTTAGAAAAAATAATAGCACAACAACATCATAGTTGAAAGTGAACAATATTTCAAGAGTTTTTCTCTCACTCGGGAGCGCACAATTGATAACAAACAAAAGGAACCACAAGAAACAGTAGAATAAAAAAAAGTGAAGTGCACAATTGATATCAAACAAAAGGAACAACAAGAAACAGTACAACATAAATTCTGAAGCAAATTAAAAAGCCTTTTAATGATAACAATTGTTATCATTTAACAGCATTTCAGTTGATCAAGTAGAATAACAATATGGTTAAACATTCCAAATAATAGAACTCGTTTCTAACTGCCAATGAACATGATATTTCCTGCATAATTTCAGCATGTTAAATGATGTAGCAGACCCTGACCAAATAAACTTTAGAAACAAACACAGGCCACTCTATTAAATAAATACACGACTAAACTAGTTTCTACTTCAAAAAATTAGGTGTCACAGTATGATCATGTTTATATTTTAAACAAATTTCACAGTGCAAAAAATTAGCATGTGTAAAAATATGGCAAGAGCCTAACCATCCTCAATGCCCAAATGACAACAAGTACACAGTGACCAAAAGAATACAGCGGAAGAAGCCAGAAATTAATTTCTACTCTGGCTCTGGGAGGACAAAACAAAAGTAAGGAGGGGAATCACTAATGGTTTTGAATGTACAATACTAAAATATCAAGGACTATACCAGTACACAAAGTCGACAGAATAAACCCTGTTTTGGTTCCTCTTGCAGACTCTTGCAGAAGATCCCTAAAGTAGAACTACTGAAATAAATGGGAATATGTCATCAGAATGCACAGGAAGACTGTCACATTTATGCAAAATATAGAAATGATAACATACCAATATATTATTGCAAGACAAATATGTTTCTCCATGTATGATAAATCAGAGTTCAAGCCTGACAAAATTCAATGAGACTACACTATACTTTTGAAACAATAATCAACCAATTAGAAAGAAATGAAGACCAGAGACGGTAAGAATATTACTATTTTTTTTAATATTTCACTGAAAATACATTTGTGAATGTACCTGCTGTCTTTGGGAATTTTGTTGAGAGCAAGAAGATGAGAAATTAGAGTGAGACCAGCTATGCCCTTGTGTTATTGATGCTATTTCGGTGACTCTTTCCTCTACATCACACAAGGCTGCTCCCCATGCTTCTTCTCCCACTTCACCAACTTTAAGATTAATCATCAGTCCATCACAAACCAAAGTTGCAGAAACCCTGCTCAAACAAAAAGGGTTAAAACATTACTCTGCTTTCATAAGTGACACACAGATGTGTCAGTACTTATAAGAATTGCTTTCAGGCTAAGAACTCAACTAGTTTCTTAACAAATTAGATAATTCACTTCAAACGTTTTTAACAATGGAAGTTTGGGAACTGGTCCTCAATCATGACAACAGTAACGCCATCAAATAATTAAAAAAAAAATAAGTCCAAATTTGAAGTGTTAATTCAAAGCTTAACGAATGCTCAAAGTCTCTAATTTTAAGAAAGCAAACATTGTAATAATATTTAGGAGTAACAAAGAAAAATAATTTACAGAAATTTAGGATGTTATGATTGTCAAGTGATATTGAAAATACATGTAATAGTTCAATAAGTAGAACTGTAAAAGTATAACCTAAACGACGTCATTCCGCCTCTTCAAAAACTATATCAGAATATTAAAAACAACGCTATTCCTATCCAACCAAACAACCCTGAGTCTCTCTGTTCCTAACTCCTAACAGTGTGTTTGTTTTGTCGTGAAAAAGTTTCAAACGGCCGTTGAACGTGAAAGCAACAAAATGTTACTTCTCATTTTTCTGCTTTGGAACGTGAGAATTCCCGTTTACGTTATTTTAAATGATAATCCAAACACGCTCTAAGACAGCGACGTTTATTGTATGTGTTTGGTTTATCATTTGGAAAAAGTTAAACAAACATTTACTCATTCCAATGCACAAAATGTCAAAGCAACTATATTAATGAATTGGAAAAAACGTGGTTAAGTTGAACGTTTTTCCAAACACACCCATTGTCATCCACGAACAATTTCCTCCGAAAAGAGTAAGGAGGTGAAAATTTTGTTTGATCGAGAAGAAAAGAAAAACGAGTAATTTTCTTTTGTTTGGCTTAAGAATATTTTAAACACTTTAATAATATATTATAAAATTTTCCCCTTTTTCGAATTCCTCTGATGACATTGAAGGGAAGCTTAAAATCTCTTCAACCAACTACTATGTAAATTATCTTTTTAATTTTGGAAAGTGTAATGCTGTCAAATCAGTATTTGAAATTATGAAAAAATTTAAACAAGTCTCAATTACATTAGTCTATAATTTAAAAGAAAAGTAAAAACTAAAATTAGAAATTGATCAAGTGCGTAAGTTTATCACAATAGTGTTTGGGTTTTAATTAAAAATAAATAATTTCTCATTTACCAGTTGAGAAGAGTTGTACCTTACCAGTTTGGGCTTCAATCCTGTTGGGCCATAGATTTTGTTTATCACTTTATTTTTAATAGTCCTATAAACTAAGAAATCTATTTTAATTAAATTAATGATCTCGATTGTGACTTGTGACTTGTGAGATCTAGATCGTAGTTCTATTATATATTTGGAGGAAAAAAAAACTGGCCCTTTACACTTAATTAAAAATAGTAAAAATAAGTAGTACATAAGTAAACAAATTAAAACAAAAAAAAAACATTATAAATTTACCATAAAAACTACGTTTAATAATTTGATCTATAATCGGTGTATTTTTTTTATAAAAAATATGCTTGCACGATCAGATAATTTAAAAATTAATTTAAATATAAGTTATCAATTAATTATTGAAAGTTAATATCTTAATTATTTATGTTAATATATAATTTGATAATAAATTTGAAATATTATTTATAATAAAAATTACTACATATGAAGATTGGATACAAAGACTTGAGCAAAAGCCATTATAGCAACTTATTTTTATAATAAGTGCATTAAACTACTTTTCATAATAATTTAATTTTTTTAAAACAACTATTTTTTATAAAAAAATAACTCGTTTATTTATTAATCAACTTTGTTTAGTTTTCAAAATAGTTTAATTCGAAATAATTTTTTAAACGGCCCTAAAACAAGTAATGTAAAAAGATATGACGCTTTCTATTCTTTTCGATCCAGTTAGAACATTCGGGGAAAGAGTTACAAAACTAACTTAGAATTCTTAAAACCTACATCTAGCCAATTACATTCAATGTGAATGTGCCATTTTAATAAGAAAATTGGAAAATTGTCTCGCTGATGGTTTTTAGTGGTTAAATAGAAATAAAAAAAAGACAATTAGACTGTGTAGAGAAGAAATAAGTAACTCTTCTTAATTGAACTTGCACAACTTCAATTTCAATTCTATGTTTTATAAGAATAATCAGAAACGATTCCAGATAAAGAAAACATAATCCAACAAAGACGTTAGTAAAAGGCCAAGGATGATGATACAGCATATCCAGAATAACAATTTTACTAACGACAACATCAACTAAAACCAAATACTAATAACATGACATCAGAAAACTTTCCATAGCTAATAAAAGTTAGATACTGGGTACCCAAAGGCTTACACATCAGTAATTATAAATCAAACCAAACAACAAAATAAACCAAAACAAGTAATTGGTGAGCTTAATCAGCAGCAAGCAATTTGCAACCAACATTGAAATAAGAGTAAACATTAACAGTAGCCAATTTAGCATGTTTCTTGCTAAGTTTATATTGACCCCAATCCTTAAAAACCACACTTAAAGGTCTATCCTTTCGAATATTAAGTTTATTAACCACAAGAGCCAATTCATCAATGCCACAAGCACTCAAACGAGGCATCTTCAGGACACTAGCAGCCAATGGTCCTAGCTCCACTGCATTTCTGCATCTAATCCCATAATGTTTCTCCAACTTATCCAAATTTTCTTTAATACCAACACCCACGAAAGTATAATCCGGTAAACGAAGAAAATTAAGCAAAGACACCGGAATAGACTTCAAATGTAGCAGCTGAATAATAAGACACGTATTTTCATCACAAAGATGCAAAGTGGCACATTTGATCGTGGAATTAACTTCGGAATCATCATCTTCATTTGACAAACACCACTCGGTATCGAACCCAATAACCTTCATTTCCTCACTATCTGCTGGATACACGAGAGATTGTAGAACATCATCAATGTTCTTATGCTTCTTTGTGACATGGGTCGTGATCTGCACTCCATTCAAATTAAACAACTCATTATAATACATTGTTACTTTTAAGAGCAAGTAGATATCAACCTGGCCATTGAAGAAAAAAGATGAGGGTTGAGGAATATATATAGTTAGTCGATAGATACAATATCATGGATGGGAAGCTCGACGGATTAGCCCATATAAATTCCATCAGGAAAATATGCAAAATTAAATACGATGTGTGGATGTAATTTAATTAGAGGTAGCCCAAAGGGTCCCCAAGTAGATTGCGTTTTCAAATTGTAAATATGAAATTAATGCGATCGTTATAACTTAAAGGTACACCGTAAATAAATAGAATAGAAAATGTAAACGCTTAACAGTTAAAGATTAATATCAAATATTGAAATAAAAATTATTTTTAAGATTATTTTGTTTGAAAAAATAATTTATTTATTTATTTATTTCAAACAATTAAAATAAAAATATCATAGTTTCAATTTTAAATATTTTGACTGTATTTAGAAATATCTATGGAGTAGGACGGATACAGTTAATATCTCCTTGTTATCCTCTCTATCGAATAAATATCTATCTTATATCTGTCTTTATAACCAGGCATTGGTTGAGTAGATACCTGCATATTTTTCAATATTTGCAAATATTCACAAGTATACGTGAATATTTACTAAAATAAATATTTTAAAAATATTCAATAAAATACTTTAATCATACATTTTAGTTATTTATAACAGTTTTTCTCTTTTTAAAAGTTATAAAAATCTGCATAAAAAATGTTTGAAGGTTATAACTAAAATTTAAATAAAATCTACATAAAAAAGTTTGAAGATTATAGAAAAAATTCAAATATTCTTCACAACTATATTAATAACAATAAGTGGATTTAAAAATTAAATTTTAAATGTTCAATCATGTAAGTTTAAAGTTCAAACAATAATTGTTAAAATAAATATTTTGATTACACATAAATCAAAATAAAAGATAATAAAGTACAATATTTAACTATTATCAGTCCAAATAAAATTAAATTTATACAAGTTTAAATAAATTGAATATTAATGGGTACGAGTATCCACAAGTATAGATACTATGATATCTATGCACTTCCCGATAGCATGTGGGTATAAAAAATATTCATATTCATTACTAGTGACGGATCTAGAAATTTTAGATAGTGAGAGCAATAATTATTTATATATTTATAGTATTAAAGATTTTACATATAACTTTTAAAAGTATAATCATAATTATTTTTTACAAGCTTTTATATCTATGATTACGATTAAGAATGAAAATAAGTTAAGTTAGACTATATTATATTATAATTTAGTAGGTTTGAATATAACTTTTTTTTAAATACATGTCTTAAATATAACTTATTTATCTATCATAAATATTTTTTTAAATATTTGATTAGAACTACAATCCTAAAAATATACTTTATAATAATTTAATACTAATAAAAACATAAAAATAAATATGTTAAATTGTATAAAAATCAAGTTTAAATATTTAAATATTTGGTTACCCACTGGGTAGTATTATTTAAATATTTTTATATATTTAAAAGTAAATAACCTTAAATCACTTAATTTATGAATTAACTAGATTGGCCTAGTGGTGGGGGTTGGAGTAATATGTATAAAATTTTAGGTTCAAACTTTGTTAATATCATTGTAATTTCGTCGGGTAAAAACAAAATCACTTAATCTATCATATTTTCTCTATTATTTTAGCTTTGTAAATTGCACTTTCATTTAGATTTATAGATTAATGCTTTTTAAGTTAAGATTTATCTTGTACTTTTTAATGTTTCAACTAAATTAACACTAAATTCAAGTTCAAAATATTTCAATAAAATTAACATTAAATACAAACTTAAAATTAATTTTAATATTTTCTTTTAATTTTTAATTTATTAAAATAATTCACAAATATGTATAGATAAATATCCATAAAATCCTGTGAGTACCTCCTTAAAAAATACTCATCTAGAAATGAAGTGGGTATAAAAGATAAATTTTTATGCAATGGAACGAGGACGAGGAGCCTACTAACTGCCCTCATAAAGTCATATTGTCATTCATAGTATTGAATATGAAATAAACTATATTGATAGAAAAACAATCACCTTCTGTATATTCAAGGTTGTCAATGAATATTAGTTACCACTTTTAGTGATAAATATTTCGTATCAATATCATAGTTCAAAAAAAAGTATAGAATATAAAATGTTAAAGATCAAAGTTAGAGTGAAAAAATTGTTAATTGGAGGTGAGTGTTTCTTAGTTATTTTTAATGAAAAAATATGATATGTACATAAACTATTATTTTATAGAATAGATGCACCTTATGTTCTTTTGGTCTCTTATAATAACTAATTCATAGTCTTAATTCTTCAATTTTTAATTTTATAATTTTAGTCTCACAATGTAAAATTCATAATTTTAGTCCAATTAATAAGTGATCATTAAAATTATAACATTGATTATAATTTAATATTGACATTAAGTATATGACTTGATAATTAATATTACATTTTTATGTTAAATTATAATTTTATTCCACATTTTTATCCCATTATAATAAAAGATGAAAATGAAATAAAAATGAGTATCAAAAGTGTAATTTTATCTAAATATTATTAAATATTAATTGACATATCAAATAACTTAAGTTTGGTTGTTCATATATTCAATGTCACAATTTCAATGATCAACTTAGACAAAAATTATGAATTATACAAATTTTGAGAGATTAAAGTCGCATAATTAAAAAAATAGGAAAGAAAAATCATAAATTAAAAATAATTATAGGACCATAACCAAATACTGAATAATAAAAGGGAACAAAAATGTAATTTAATTTTTAATTTATATTTTATAAATTTTCTAATATTAATTGGAAAGTGTCTAGAAATTTATTTTTTTATTAACAATTATTTATTATATTGAAAACTAAAATTTAACTTCAAATTTTTAATAATCTATGTGTTCTGGTATGGAGGAACCTCCTCTATAAAAAGTATAACAATTGTTTAGGTTCAAAACATTAAAAAGAGTGACCTTCTATTGTTAACTCTAAAAATCTCTTATAGGTTCATGTTGAGCATAATCAATACTATGTATTATGTACCTGTTTCAGGGACACATTAGTAATCTTTTCGTAATCTGAAAGCTGAACGAGAGCTCCAAACGAATATTCCAGTGGGGGGAGGTACCTGCAAAAAAGGCACTCTGATGCTCAAGTCAGGACAAACGTGAATATCAATAATAATTAATGAACAGTGACTTTACCTCAAGATATGAACTATTTATATTGACATTAATGGGCCCTGTGCTAGGGGTACTAAATTAGGTAATACGCTTGTAATTTACTTTATGCCCATGATTAGCTATTAATCAATGATTGAGGCTAATTAACATGTTTATTAGATCATTCCCTTTTGATTGAAGGTATACTAGTCTCTGTCGATCGGTCCTCGACCACTAAAGGTGCCGAACTATTAGGTTTCTTGAGGTCGGGGTATGGATTTTCGGTCTAGTCAACCTGGACGATTGGATCGATTAGCCGAACAATGGTATGGGGTGACGATGTATGATCTGTTCTAATAGTCATTCGTTCCTCGGGTGCCAAGGGTGCCGAACTATTAGGCTTCTTGGACAAGGCCTTAAGATATGGTCGATTGGTCGTTTACCAAATGGATGATGTGGCCGAAAGGCCTATCCGGTACAAATTCTTTGGTGATGAGTCCCATAAATTCCAACGAGATTGAGTTATGCCCATAACAAAGTGTGTTTTGGGATAGCCAAAAAATGGCATGACTAATTGATTGGCACCTTACAAAGATACTCATTCTGGACCAATCAGTCTTGTACCAGTTAGTATTCCTTAGTCAAGATTCCAAATAGTTGGTAAGAGCTAGGTGAATACAAGATCTTTCACCCAAGGCTCGAGCATTGATGTGGGAAGAGGCTTCCAAATGTTAATCTTTCTCAGTTTGTTCCATGCGGTCATTTGGGAGCTAGCAATGCACACAACCCCTAAAGTTTGAGCACATTGTGCAAAGTGGCTTCTTTCGGTCAATCTGTTTTGGTTGGTTTTACACAGTTGTTAGAGAGCCAAGAAGGCACACATGGATTTCTTATGTCCAAACGCAGTTCCATAATGTATAATGAGTGTTACATGAATTTGTGTGTGCTTCAACAAAAGAGATGACGTCCTTCACACACTAATATTATAGTAGGAGCACCTATAAAGTCACTCTAACACTCAATTTAAAGGGGGTTTAGGTTAAAAATGTGATTAAGGTTAAAATGATACATGGTGTACCTTAGATGTTGAATTAGAAGATATTTTAAAGGGAGATCTGGTTAGTTGAATTATAAGATATATAATGTGTTCCAAATTACGATAATCTAAGATCTTTGAGAGATATGCATGCAAAGATATTCCTACTAGCAATTAGGAGTTAACTGCTTAAGCTTTTGTTTTACATTGGTGGTATGGAAGCTTTGTGTAGACGAGTAGGAGAAATCCAACTCAATCTATTTGAGTTGGGCAATACAATGAGAAAATTAATGTTAAAGGGATGCATATTATCCAAGAAATGTTTGAAATTGACAAGGTCAAGAGTAACTGAAACAAAGCAAAGAAGAAGATAGCCAATTCAATTATTTTTAATTGATTTTTATTTATATTTCGCAATGTTAATATATTTCGTATCATCATGTCTATTTCGTAATAGAGGGCTTTAAGAACATAATTATTGTCTAGATTTAAAACATTCAAAAAGAGTAACACATTAATATGAACCCTAAAACCCCTTTATAAACTCTTATTGACTATAATCAATATTGTGAATTCTTAGTGATTGAATTCCAAGAATCTTGAATGAGATTGAGTTATGTCCTTTATGTTTCCTTCATCACATAATAAGCATCATATTTGAAGAAAAATTAAGTTCTAAAATAACTATGATGTTAATTTTTCTATGTAAAATAATTTAGGATGACCCTTATTATGGAACATAGGGAGTTTTAATAATTGTGAAGTGTATTTTGGATAACCAAAAAATGACATGTTAGATTGGCATCTTGCATGTCATTTTCAATTTTCTTTCAATAATTAAAAATGAAAATTGTAATTCAAATTTGTTCTTGCCTAAAAAATGTACTAGAGATAATCTAGTAGTTATTCAAATATATAATATTCAAAATGTGTATTATATTTATCTTTGTCCGAGATGGGGATTTTATACCTAATTATTGTGTCTTTATGAGCTCCGATAATCTTAAGATTTTGCAAAAATTTACCCGATAGTTGATCATAATCATTAATGATAAGATTTTGTATCAAATATAAATTTTGAATCAAATAAATACCAAGTTATTTTACAGGTAGGAATATGAGTGATGAAATACTCAACTAACCAAACTGTCTTAACAATACCTTATCGATAAAAGATTGAGAAGTGTTGGGAAAATAATTCAAATTTTCAAATTCAAATCTCTGAGATATTATTTAGATTTTAAAAGATATTGATTCTTTTAGAATATTGTTTAGAATTGAAATATATTATATTTATTTTAGAGATTTATTTTCTCTTTTAAAATTGTGATGTAAAGTCAATAAATAGAGATTCTTAAGAAAAGAAGAATCACTCAACCTGTAGAGGGGGTCACTGCCTTAAATGAGAGAGAAAGTTATATGAAAGAGGATTTTCAAATTTCACTAGAAAACTTGTGAATGAGGGTTTTCAAGTTTCGGCAAAAAACTTGTGAAGGAAGGGTTTTCAAGTTTTATCCATAAAACTTGTGAGGGAAGGAGTTTCCAAGTTTCATCCATAAAGCTTGTGAGGAAGGTGCTTTCAAGTTTAACTCACAAAACTTGAAAGGAGGATTTTGATGATATATGTGATACATTTTGAAATAAATAATGAACATCCTTATAGACGTAGGAGTTGAACAACATTAAATAAATTTATTTAATTTTTTATTATTTATTTTATGATATTATTTTAATACGTTTGTTATCATTATTATTGTGCATAAAAAAATATTTTTTTTCTCAACAAAGAGATATACTTGTTGACTATCTCAACCATAAAAGATGTATAGACTAAACTGAAACTCGTCTCTCGTACATAACCACTCCGCCTTCATGTTTTCGAACTGCATTCTTATATTGCTCCCTTTTGTTAAAAAAAGCTCAAACAAATTCTATCTAAACTCAAAATTGCTTCAAAACTAAATACTTTACTATCATCATCTACAGCAGGTGACAATATCAGATATATTAAATCATTTGCCCACAATACTGGAAAATTACTGAATAGATAAAATGTTCTTTCAAGGTTTATTTTATATCCCAAAGCATATTCACAATATATATAAATAAATCCAAAAAGAAAAAACTAATAATCCATCATTAATAACGATAATCATCAGATTCAGCAAGCAATCTGATCCCAATTTTGTAATAAGAAAAAGTATTAATAGCAGCAAGTTTAGCTTGATTACTGCTAATAAAAGATTTACCCCAATCCTCGAAGATCTCGTCTGGAGGTCTAAACTTTCGAAGTTTAAGGTCAGCAACCGCAAAAGCAAGTTCCTCAACGCCGCAATCTCTCAAACGAGGCCTCTTCATGACAGTAGCAGCCAAGGGTGCCAATTCCACTGCATTTTTGCATCTAATCCCACACTGTTTCTCCAACTTATCCAAATTATCTTTAATACCAACACCCACGAAAATATAATCCGGCATGCGAAGAAAATTAAGCAGTGACGCGGGAATAGATTCGAAATGTAGCAGTTGAATAATAATACATGAATATCCATTGCAAAGATTCAAAGTGGCGCATTTGGTTATGGGAACCACTTCATTCATCGTATCCTCTTTTGACATATGCCACTCAACATCTAACCCTATAACCTTCATTTCACCACTATACGATGGATGCAAAAAAGATTTCAAAACCACATCAATTTTCTCATGCCTCTTTGTCACATAGGTCCGAACACACTCTCCACTCAAATAAAAAAACTCCTCCTTTTCCTCTATATTCTTAAGCAGCTCAGCCATATTGTATAATTCCATGGTAATCTGATTTTAACTGATTCAAGATAATGCTCATGAAGCCTATATATAATGATAAAATACACACGCTAAAATATCTTTAATTTAAATAAAAAAAATCAGTTTTTCTAAAAAAAAATTCATGATCCGAATATTTAGAATTTATTTAATTTAAGATAATATAGGATGGATTTATATATCTGTTACCATTCTTTCGCTGGTTTGTTTCCTTCTTGTTTTTTTTTTTTTCACAAGTTTTTACTTCTCTCTTACCTATATAGCCAAAAATATAATAATTATCTTATACTAATGTATTTTTTTCTTCTCTATGATCCATATTAATATAGAAAATAAAATATTTGTTTAGAATTAATATACATTCAATTTTTTTTTTATATATTTTACAAATTTAGAAAAAAAATAATGATTAAAAGACATCAAAATGTATATAAATTTTTTTAATATATATATATATATTCTAAAAGTTTATAAAGTCTTTCCAAATTTTTATAAATTTTATGATATAAATTACTTATAATTCAAACTACAAAAACTACCTATCTATATCATATGTAAAGAGATATCATTTATGAATTTTTTTTAGGACTCATTTACCCTTTAACTTATTTATCTATATTTATTTAAATTATTTTTATTTTTAGTTTTATTTGTCATTTAAAGTATAGAATCTCTTTTAGTAACAACACATTATATTCTCTAATAATTGACAATTGAATAATTCTCTTCTTCCACTAATTAAAATCATCATTATTTTTTTAATAACTTTTGTTATTTTTATTTTTATTTATTAAATAAATTATTATTCTAACATGTACAATATACTTGTTAAATGTTTAATATAAATAATTAAAATTTACAATAAATTATATATAATATTTTACGTTTGAATATATAAATTATATTTAAAATTTATATAATAGGTTTTTTTAACGTACAAATTATATTTTGGTTTTATGATAAATAACTTATATTATATCATAAAATTATTTTTATTTATGAATAATTTATTTATTAAAATTTAATTCATAAATAATTATAATAAATAAAAATTAAATTAAAAAAAATTAAATAAATATCTATAAATTCTCTCGTCATAGAATAATATGTAAAAACACTCTCAAATAAGATAATATTTCGTATTTAATATATACGAATTTATTGATTTATTTTAAAAAATATTAAAATTTAATTAATAAATAAATATTAAATTAGATAAGAAGTTAGTTTTTTTTTATTTAAAAAAAAACTCCTTAGAAACACTTTAGCTAATAGAATCATTTGTGTTCAATATATTTGTATTCAATTTATAGGAGTTGATATGAAGAAAAACAAAGTGCTTCTTTCACTCTTCGATACTAATTGTATAATTTTTTTAGCCTTCACTTGTTTGAAAACATTATATTTCCTATAATTATTTCACTCTTTATTATTTAACGTCTATAATTATTTTCTCTTCTATGGTATAAATTATATTAAGATAAACATATTTATCTTATGAGTGCTTACATTCTTTGGTAGAGATTAATCATAATTTTTTATAACAAATACATCGTATCAATATCATGATTTCAAGAAGGAGTCTTAATTCATTATTTTTTATATTTTATATTTTATTTAAATAAAATGTTTAGTCTCAATCCCATTAATAATTATAAAGTCCTTTAAAAAAATATTGTGTCATATATTTTCCACATAATATTTTAAAATCAACAAGATTTTTTAAGTTAAAAAAAAATAAAATCTCAATCTAATATACTCTTTTAGTTTTAAAAAAATTCAAAATAATTTAATATTTTTAATTACTTTTTTAGTTGTAAATATTTTTGCAATATCGATTCCGTTTTTTTTTATTTTTTTATTTTTTTATGTAATCTATCGATTAATAAATCTCAATCAAATATTTACCAATAATAAGAAATTATTTCCACCGAAATAGTCATATCATTTTAAATTTAATTTTATATACGAAGCATGAATCATTATTTTATATGCAATAATATTTTAAGAAATTTTCTTTGATAAAAGTATTTGTAGGAATTTTGTTAAATTCTTATCTGATTTAATTTTATTTATTATATTTATCTATAAATTAAATTTAAATGTTTTTAAAATAAAATATCAATAATTAAAAATAATCTTGTGGTATAATATAAATTATTTATTATAAATATAAAATATAATTTATATGTTTAAAAATATTTATTTATTAAAATTTTGATATAATTTATGTATTCAAATTTATTATTTATTTATATATATAATTTATGATAAATTTTGGTTATATATAAATAATAGGATCAAGATATTTCATGTCTCGATTAAAGATAAAATAAAAATAAAAATTAAACTATGTTAAACTAATTAGTATTATGATTAATTCATTAGTTTCAAGATTTTGAATTTGATTAAAAAAATATTTTTCTAATTTTAATTTTAAAAATAAAAGGGTATAAGTATAATGGTGAACAAAATGTGAAAATTAAGGTAATTGCTAAAATAAGTATTTCCTTTATATATTAATATAAATATCGATAAACATTTAGCTTTTAAAATGCACATACTAAAATATAACATATATTTTTAAAATATTTAATTTCATGGTTTCTTTATGCTCAAATTTTATTTAAGGAAGTTGTTTAGGTGTTTTTGTCTTATGTGTTTAAAAGATTTTTTTAATCATAATAGTGTTACTTTTAATTCTTTTACAAATAGTAATAATGGATTACTTTTAAAATAACTAATGGAGTCGAGATATTTTGTGCTTGTATTAAATAATAAAATACATTAATCTAATTAATATTATACTAATTCATTAATTTTAAGTTCTTAAATTTAATTTAAAAATATTTTTTTTAATTTTTTTAAAATATAAGAGTATAATAATAAAAAAAAGTAGAGACTAAGATAGTTATTAAGAAGGATATCTCCTTTATATATTAGTATAGATAAGATTTTTTTTAGCGATGGACACATCTATACTTACTAATATATAAAGGGAATACCCTTTTTAGTAACCATCTTGGTCTCCACAATTTTTGGACCATTATACCTCTCTGTTTTAAACAAATTAGAAAAAATATTTTTTTCTATCAAATTTAAGAACTTAAAACTAATAGATTAATCATAATACCAATTAGATTAATATATTTCTATCTATACTAATATATAAAGAAGATACCTTTTTTATACTAATATATAAAGGGGATACCCTTTTTAGTAACCACTAGGGGTGGGTATATGGACTCGAGTCCGCGGACCGGTCCGTAAGTCCGCGGACTTCACGGATAACGGACTCAATTTTTTTAATCCGTATAATCATATGGACTTTTTAGGTCCGGCCCGTTAAGTCCGCGGATTTTGCGGATTTAATCCGCGAGCCCGCAGATTACCCGTTTAAATGTGGAACTTTAAATTTGTTTGGTTGTGTATTAAGACTTTTAAAGTTTTAAGGTAGTAAGGCTTTAATATTTGGTTAATAGTTGGTATGCTTGGACTTTAAATTTTAAAGGCATTGAGACTTAAATATTTCTATTAGAAATTTAGAATGTATAAACTTTGTTATTTAAGACTTTGGTTTATTATTTATATAATGTTTGATGTTACTATTAGAAGTATATTTATATCATTTTATATGTATTTTTTTTCCTCATGTTTTCATAGGTTAAATAAAGAAAAAGAAATTCAAAATCTCATTAAATGTGTCAATATTCATTAAAAAAATTTAGATTTAATTGGGCCCGCGGACTTATCCGTTTATCCGCGGGTTTCACGGGCCGGATACGGACTTGAAAATTTAAGTCCATTTATTTCGCGGACCGGATTTATCCGGCCCGTTAAAAATGCGGATTTCGCGGACCGGGCCTTAAACGGGCCGGACCGGTCCGCATACCCACCCCTAACAACCACCTTGGTTTCCACAATTTTTGGACCATTATACCCTTCTGTTTTAAAAAAATTAGAAAAAATATTTTTTTCTATCAAATTTAAGAACTTAAAACTAATAGATTAATCATAATACCAATTAGATGAATATACTTCTATCTATACTAATATGTAAAGGGATACCTTTTTTACTAACCACCTTGGTCTCCATAATTTTTGGACTATTATACCCTTCTGTTTTAAAAAAATTAGAAAAAATATTTTTTTATATCAAATTTAAGAACTTAAAACTAATAAATTAATCATAATACCAATTAGATTAATATACTTTTATTATTTAATTTTTATTTTTATTTAAATATATAAACTATTTTATTCTTTATTTATTTTTTAATAACTACTTTTCTATGAATAATTATTTATTTATTTTTTATTTTTTTTTAATATAATGCAGGCACAAAGTGTTTTTTTTTTCTGCTAGTAATGGATAATGGAAGTAATATGAAAATAGTCGTTGTGTCTGCTTGTGAAACTTTGGAATTGGGAGGATCGAGCGACCGTATCTTTTGACTATTCCAAACAAACACCTTTCAATCATTAATGTTCGGCTTCATTTATTTTTTAAATAAAAAATAAAAATAAAATAAAAATCATTGGTCATTATTAAAAGTGAAAAACCTTAAATTTTGGTTTTTTTAATTTGTTTTAAAAAAAATGTCATGTCTGTGTATGAGCGCGCCTGCGGGCATCGACAGATTCCTAGTTAGGAATGTTTCTAGGGTTCTACCATTTGACTTAAGGTACCTTCCCCTTTGTCTTTGATACAATTTCAATTTCCTTTCCTTTTGGTTTTTTATTTCATCTTAATTTTTGTATCCATTGTTTTCGAATATTATGTTCATACTTTTAACCATTGAAAAAATAATCTTTAGCGTGAATGAGAGTTGGGTTTTTTAAATTAAAACTCCTTGTTAATGAAATTGATTCACACCAGATGGGCCATACCATTCCAAGAGAGAAAGACGTTGAATTTGACCTTGAAAGTGGTGGGAACACTAGCGAAGAGGATGTAGGAAACGATCTTTATCTTGGTGAGATAGAATCAAAGGGTGCTTTTGATCGGGCATGGAATGGGGTTTTGAATTTTGATGGGTTAGATAAGACTAAAAATGGGATTCAGTCGTGTAGTTATTCATCAAAATCTGGTGTTGCTGCAGTTAAGGATGAAAAAAAATTAGAATTGTTTGTGGAAAAGGGTTTTGTTCAAAAACAATTGTTACATGTAAATGTTAATCAAGCAAAACAAAAGACTAAGCCCTATAACCCCAGAAAGCCTCCAAAGCCACCCCTACCTCCTAGAGGTCCTTTACTGGATGCTGGTGATCAGGAGTTTGTGAAGGAACTTGCTGAGCTTGCATTGAGGAAGCGCGCAAGGGTTAAGAAAATGAAAGCAGTGAGAAAGATGAAAGCAAGCAAGTCATCTTCATCATCAACATATACCAATCTTTCTGCCATGGTCATCACTATTTTCTTCTTCCTTGTCATAATACTCCATGGTAAATAAGCAATTCTTTTTGTTGGTTTTGTCTTCCAAGTGCTATAATTTGTGCACATTTGATTATGATTAACTTTTAGGAAATACTTTAAGGATCTGTCAATAAAATTTTGAAAATAAGTTGTTTTGAATGTAAAATAAGATAAGTCATACACACTTAATGTTTATTAGTACACCACCTGCTTAAATCTCAAATTGGTGTTGTGTCATGTATGTAGCCAATTTCAGACTTGAACAGAATAGCTAATAGTATGTTTGATTTCTATTTGGTAGTTAAAAACCTACAAAATCACGTTCTATTTGGTGTTTATTTGGTAGTTATTTACTAGTTTGGTGCTTTGGAATATGTGTGTTTTTAAGCTGGCAATGTTTCCAATTGGTTTCTGATAAGATCCTAGAAATATAAGAATACTTTATTGAATAAAAAAAAGAATTACAGGTAGTGATCTGCCTTCTCTTCTTAAAGAATAACTTTTCTCTCCCTGTTTTCCCATAATTCCCCTGACCCCTTTTTTATATCCCTCCTAGCTAACTTCCTAGATAACAAACAAATAATAAACTGTTAAATCTTATTCCTCCTAGTGTAGACTCTCCAAACCTTGGGCCTGCTATCTTGCATTACTAGTTGGGCTCTATCATTGCCCTCTCCTATGAAATCAGCCTTGTCCTCAAGGTTGAAGGAAGGAAATTGACTGCGTATGACGAACTCATCTTCCCATGTAGCATCCTCCATAGGCTTGTTCTTCCATTTCACAAGAAGTTGTTGAGTTGTCTTGTCTCACCCTGTTTGGATGACTTTCTTGCATCAATAATGCTCTCTGGTTCTACAGACTCCAGTATCTCCAATTCTAGCCCTTGTGGAAGGTCTGGCTCTACAGAATAATTTCCAATTGCCTTCTTTAATTGAGATACGTGAAAGACAGGGTGTACCTGGAGGAAGGAGGCAACTTTAGCTTATATGCAACTGGTCCACAACGTTCTAGAACTTGGAAAGGGCCATAGAAGCGGGCAGCAAGCTGCTGATTTACTCTCTTGACTACTGATTGCTGACGGTGGGGCCTTAATTTCAAAAATATCCACTCACCTGTTTTGAAGGACAAATCTCTTCGCTTTTGGTCAACATATTTCTTCATTTGTTGCTGTGTACGATGCAAGGGATATTTTAATTGTCTAAGAATCTCATCCCTATCTAGCAACTCCCTTGCTACTGCTTCTACTCTGGATTCTCTTGGAAGGTAGCGAGTCAGGCTAGGAGGGTTTCTACCATACACCACTTCAAAAGGAGTAGATTTTGTGGAAATATGAAAGGTGGTGTTGTACTACAACTCTGCCCAAGATACCCATTGAGACCAGGCCCTTGGTTGCTCTGAAATAAAACATCTTAAATATGTCTCTAGGCAACGATTAACAACTTCAGTTTGACCATCAGTCTCGGGGTGATATGTAGAGCTCATTCTAAGGGTTGTACCTTGAAGTCGAAAGAGTTCTCGCCAAAAATGGCTAACAAATAGGGAGTCTTGATCACTAACAATAGAATTAGGGATTCCATGTAGTCTAACAATTTCTCTTGCAAAAAGTTCTGCAATTCCCTTAGCTGTATAAGGGTGTTTCAGAGAGAGAAAATGAGCGTACTTTGATAATCGATCAACCACGACAAGAATGGCTTCAAGTCCTCTGGATTTGGGAAGACCTGTGATGAAGTCCATGGAGAGGTCCTCCCATATTTGATTAGGGATGTCTAGTGGTTGCAAAAGACCCCCTGGAGAGAGAGCTGCATATTTCTGTCGTTGACAAACATCACAAGATTGGACATAGTCTTGAACATGCTTCTTCATACCTACCCAATATAGATTTGCTGCCAACCTTCGGTATGTTCGCAAAAACCCCGAATGTCCTCCATGTGGTGTGGCATGGAATTCAGCTAGGAGCTGGATTTGTCAGGAATTGTAACATTATTTAGAGCCCTGTAATCCACACACATCCTCCATGAGTTGTCGTTTTTCTTTACCAAGATGACTGGGCTAGAGAAAGAACTATTATTGGCTCGAATTAACCCTTTCTACAGTAGCACTAAAACCTGTCGTTCAATTTCATCCTTGTGGTGATGAGGGTACCTATAGGGCCTGTCGCTTTTAGGTCCCTTTCCTGTTTGAAGAACAATTGCATGATCATTGTCTCTATGTGGTGGTAAGCCTTGAGCTTCGGTGAATACAATTGGAAATTGAGCTATTAATTGTTGGATCTTCTCATGTTGTTCTTGCGATAAATCTCCATATTGGACTACTTCTTGATCTTGAACCTGTATATTCCAAAATAACTTGTCAAAGGACAGCCCTTTGCCGGCGATTAAGTTATGCAAGGAAGAAGTGGCTGTTGCCACCTCCGGTTTAATGCCACACAAGGTGATCAATTCATTCTTGTTGTAGAAAGTCATTGTCATTTGCCCCCAATCTGTTTGCACCAATCCTAATGGTTCCAGCTATATAATCCCCAAGATTAAATCTAAGCCGCCTATGTCAAAAACATAGGCAGTCACAGAGGCTTCCATTGGGCAATCTACCTTCAAGTTGCAAGTTCCCTTTGTCAATACACGATGACCATCACCCAGCCGTATGGCTACACTTGAAGTGTCTTGCACAGGCAGATTCAAAGCCTTCACAACATGTCTTGATACAAAATTATGGCTGGCACCGCTGTCCACTAAAATTAAAATTGGTAATCCATTCAATTGTCTCTTTAATTTCATGACTTTAGGACTAGAAACTGCTTCTTTAGTGGAATGGAATAAGCTCATAGCAGTGCATTTCACTTCCTCAAGAGTCTCGTCATTGTCACCTTTAGCAGATTCGATCTCACCCTCTTCGTTGAAAATCTCGTCCTCTGCAAGCAATGTAAGTCTGACCTGTTTTTCTGGGCATTGATGCATAGGATGGTATTGCTGACCACACCTAAAACACAGCCCTTTTTTCTTTCTATCAAACAATTCTTGGGCAGCTAAGTGGCTGATCCCTCTACTCCTCGTATCTCACGGGTGACTAGTAACAAACTCAGATCCATGTGACTTGGGTTCATGTTTCCAATTCTGGGAGTTATCTTGCTGATTAAGGGCACTTTTTTGATTTGAAAATACAACACCAGATTTTTGTGAATTCGATCCATTGTTGACCATAGATTTTCGATTTGAAATTTTTCCCTTGCTATCAGACTCCCCATATATTGCACACTCCACATCTCAAGCTAGAGAGATAGCCCTATTAATTGTTTTTGGTTGGTGAATACGCACCCAACGTCTAATTTCGGGTTTTAACCCATGCATAAAATATCCGATGGCTTGTCGTACAGTTAGGCAAGGGACTTGGGAGGACAAAAACTCAAGCTCTTCAATAAATTCTGCCACAGAATGCTCATGTGTAAGTGCAGCCAATTGTTCATAAGAATTTCAGGTATTTATGTCTCCGAAGAGATCGAGCAATGCCTCCTTTAACTTTTCCCACGAAAGCCCTGGGTCACCCTCCCATAGCAAGGAAAACCAATGGATGACATGCCCTTCCATTGACAATTGGGCAAGAGGAATTTTTGTTTCTGGTGGGGTACCATGCCCACAGAAATACATTTCTGCCTGAACAATCCAACCACGTGGGTCCATACCATCAAAGGAGGGCAATTCAACCTACCTAGCTGCGAGCCGATAGTCATCAGAGAGGACTAAGGGGGGAGGAGGAATCTTAGGAGGGTCATTAGCCTTGTGGGACTAATTATCTCCATTCCGTTTTAACCACTAGTGATCATGGATTGAAACTCAGCATTTTCACGACATTTAGTCTCATTCGCATGTGCTTCCTTGATGACATATTGCTGGAGATCAGCAACTAAGGATTGTAATTCCTGAAGTTGGGTGACCAAAGTTGTGACTTTGGATTCCAATGCATCGACCTTAGAGACCATGTTGAGGTATCCGACAGGTTAGACCAATGATAAGATCCTAGAAATATAAGAATACTTTATTGAATAAAAAAAGAATTACAGGTAGTGATCTACTTTCTCTTTTTCCCCATAGCAAAGGCTCCAAACAATTTCTTAAAGAATAACTTTTCTCTCCCTGTTTTCCCAGACTTCCCCTGACCCCTTTTTTATATCCCTCCTAACTAACTTCCTATATAATCTTATCTATTATTAACTTCCTAGATAATCCTTATTTTAATTTAAAAAGATAAAACAGAAATAATTATCAACTTCCTAAATAGATAACAAACAGATATTAAACTGTTAAATCTTATTCCTCCTAGTGTAGACTCTCCAAACCTTGGGCCTGCTATCTTGCCTTACTAATTGGGCTCTATCAGTTTCCAAACGTAGATTAAATTGTCTCCCTACAAATACTAAATTGTTGATTAATATACAATAATAGAGATAAGCATTTGTTCTGCACATAAATTTGAAGCATAGAGCTGCCTGCATTGATACACTGGCTTGAGTTCATTTGCATTGCAACTATGGTTCTTGTAATGTTTATATTGATGGCAGAAAACTTGAAATTAGTTTACTGTATGCCTTCCTTTTTTCATGCACTTTTCTTTTATTTATCTACTACTAAAAAAAATATGACCTTTTTTTCTGACTCTTACAGCTATGCTTTGTCTTAAATCAGAAGTTTACTGTGTAATTTCATCATCACCAAGATGTAGGGCATATCATCAGGGTTTAATTAATTTTGTTGTTTCCCTGTCTTTTTTACTTTGACCTCTCCTTCATTATAGTAACAAATAACAAGCTCTATTTTGTAATCAAATACTTATTCTGAACTGACAAATTTTATGAGTGGTATTTTGCTCAAAGTGTGTATTTTCCATGTCAATCTGATCTCAGATTCAATTTATGTATTTATTGGCTTCCTTCTACTTTGGCTAGCCAATGATATTATTATAAATCTACAGCTCTGAGGATGTATTGTGATACTAAATTATCATTTCACAATCTCGTTATACATGATGGATTTAGTGCTATTGAATATGCATTATATTATAAGGAAACTAAATCCCAACCTAAAGTGTAAGTATTTATGATTAATGAAGAGTTAAATTGAGCCTTGACCTAACGTCTTGATTATTGATTAGACATCTTCATACATTGTAAGTTGACTTTTGGTGCTAAGGATTGGTAAATAGTTTTTCAATGATCCTTTTATTAGCTTTTGATGTGGTTCCTGTCTTTCTACCTTGGAAGTGCCAAATATTTTTGCATAAATACTAAAGAATATTAAGTTGAGCTTATTCAACTGTATTCATGTGCATCTATTAGGATAAATGGAATTCTATAATTGGCATTCACTAAATGGTGTTTACCATTGTAAAATTTATCTTGCTTTCTTGGTTTCATCATGCCTTAAGCAAAAAGTTTGCAGTTCTTCAAACTCTAAGTGGTATATGTCGTCTAATGCAACATCAAATTCTAAAGTTTTGGATGCATCTCATTTGGAAGTTTGGTATTTAGGAAATATTCATGCTAATTAGATTTGCATGCAGGAATCAGATCTGTAAGTAGTACTGCTGTTGGGGTAATGGATTCCTCTGAGGCAACATCTGCAGCAGATGAAGGTTTGATTTCAATTCAGTATCCTACGAACTTCATCACAAATGAAGGAGATGCTCCTGGCTCTCGCTATCCATGTGCGTCTTTTTTTTTCTTCCACAATTGCATATTTTTAAGGAAAATTTAATGAGCTATGTGGTAATGGGATTATATATAAAAAAAAATGTAGCATTCTAATTGTTTTCCTTCTGTCTTGTATTAATGCAGCTTTACAGGAAATGTGATGTGGAAATTGAGGGTTCTTTCGTTTTCAATGTGAGTTTAGGCTTTTCTTTACTACTGTGGATTATGTATGTGTCATTTTGTTGTACAGCCATTAGGAATCTTAGCCATTTGTCAAGTTTGCTTGTACAGTGACTTCATTGGTAATGTTAATAAAAAAGACTTCACTTCAGTGATTCTTTTGTCTCTGTTGACTTGGCTTGTAGTATGTCTTGTTGAGTTTTTTTGTCCTCCTTGGTAATATGACACTTTGAGACTAGTAATTACTCCTAGTTTAGATTTTATTAGATTTTTGGAGGAAATGGCATTTTTCTTATAATTTTATCCATAAGATTTTGATTGGAAATAATTAGCTAATGCAAGTAACATTAAGATACTTGGATTTTTTTGTAGAATGCCACAATACACAAGTTGTGTGTGTGTTTTGTGGCCATTAATTTGTTGAAAACCTTAACATCGAGTTTTTATATTTGCTAAACCATATTTTTATATTCTATGAAAATCTCGACTCTTGATTTATACTTCATTGGCTATTATTTCACTTTGACCTTTTAAGGTGAATCAAGAGGAGCCAAATGGCCACAGAGTACATCTTTAACTTACTCTTCATCCCAAATTTATACTATAAATTTTAAGTTCTTCAATAATATTAGGATTGAGATTAGGTTTAGGAGTAGAACGGTAAAAAATTATTCAACATCGAGTTTATAACAAGCAAAACGCTTCTAGTTTGTGCTTTTGTATCCTTTGGTTGGAATGTATTCTTCATCTACGAGTATTGTGAAGAAGGCGTGTATAGAAAGAATGACTAAGGGAAAGGAAATAAATGCGAGAACTCACATGGAGGAGTGAAGGTGATAAAGTAAGGGTAGCTTAGATATTTACATAAATTTTCAAACATGTGAAGTGCAAAAATGGGGCGCAAATAATCCCCTCAGGTTAACATGTCATGAGTCTCTAGTCTTTACTCGTTTTCTAGCCAAGAAGTCCAACTGAAATGCTATGAGGCCCAATGGTCCAATTAATAACAACTTATTGGGTGGCCCAATTAAAATGAAGTTGGAATAGTGCCTCAGTGTGGGAATTAGGATGAGGTTAAATTTGACAAATGCTATATATAGTTCCCCTTTTTAATAGATATATGTCTCCATTCTCTATTATTTTTTTTTTTTATAAAAATCTTCTTAAATATTTTTTTAATTAATTTTCTTTTAAAAATAAATTTTATTTCTAAAAATTATGTTTTTCATTCACCCATCTTCTTTCACTCTTTTTCTTATGCTATGTTATTTCTCTTTGATCACTCTTCATATGTTTTCTTTCTTTTTTTTTCCTTTTTTTATTTTTTATTTTTTTATTTTTTCTCTCCAATAATCAAGGCATTTATTGACTTTTTTTTTTTCCACTCTTAACTTCTACATCTTTTAAACTCTAATTTTTCACATCTTTAATATTGCATACATTGGATCCAAGGTTATAAAATTTTTGAAAATGTTATTTTCAAAGGTATGACTAATTAATTTTACGATGAATTATTATCAGAAAAAATATATATTTTATTATTATCGTTCTGAAATTGTGTTTCATGATTTTAATAATATACTTATACAAAGTATTCTCTAAAAAAAATAAAAATATCTCTCTTCCAAAAATAACTTTCCAAAAGACAAAGTTATACTCTTGAAAAGTACTTTTCAAAAGACAAAAAATATACTTCTAAAAAGTACCTTTTAAAAAAATACTTTACTCTTTCAAAAAATATTTTTCAAAAAAAAAGTACCTACAAGACAAATAAAAAAAAATAAAGAGATGTATGATTAATAAATGGGTGTGTATTTAACAAACATCTTAAATTTTTATAGTCAAGAATGAGTATTTAAAATTTTTTATACATAAATAATTTATTTTAACTTATTTTACATTTTATTAGTGCTTATGAAGAAAATTGAGAGGACTTCTCAAAATATTGATCATAAGATATTTTTAATTTATTTTCACAAGTTCTCCAAGATAACTTATAAAAATAGTTTATTAAGAGGTTATAAAAAATTCACCTAAGGTCAACCATATGATTTTTTTTTATTACATAAGGTCAGCTATATTGAATATACTTATTTTTTTTCTTCATTCAAATTAAAACTTTTCTTTTTCAAATATAATTTTTTTTTCTCCGTTCAAATTAATACATGTAGCAATGATTATGATGAGGGGTGAACCACACCTCCCCAGAGACAGAATGGTGGTAAGCACATGATTGCATGAATTCAATTTCCTTAATATGTGTGTATCTGGCTCACTCTTCTGCCTATCTGGATAAATGCTGTCCCAGTTTGAGCATATCGGGAATTGGCCAACTCTATATTCAAGGATCCATAATTTATGCACGAATGATGTAGAAACTACTGTAGAAAGAAGATGTGGTGATAAATGGAATAGATTCACACCACTTTTTGAGTACGTGATTTAATTAATTATGGTACATGACCCTTGTACAATTCACGGAACATGAACACTCAAAAAAAAATTGGAAGTCCATTCCTTAATCCTTCATTTGAATTGGTTTTGGTCGACCTTTGACATTATGGTATATGGTCCATTGAGCATGGCCATACCATACCACCCACATTAAAGGCACACAACTCCATATGGATCCTTTATCCATGTTAGCCACTTCTCTCCTAGCAATCAGCATTTACGGACTATAGTACAATTGTGATGCTAACTAATATAATAATGGAGCAAATATATTTTTAATCTTTAAATTTATCTTCCCCTCAATTTTAAAGTTAATATTTTTAGTTTATATAATTTAAAAAAAAAACTATTTTAATCTCTCCATATCATCAAATAATTGACATTAAGTCAACTTATAATATCAAATTAAATTTAATATGATATTTTCATAGCAATAATAATAAGTGGATGTTACTTAACAAATTTAATTATAAGTAAATTTTGTTTAAAATATTTATTAATGTCATTTGAATTGAAAAATTAAAATAAGATTTTTCTGAATTATAATAATTAAAAAATTGATTTAATTAATAATAAAATTTGAAATATTCAACCACATCGCATATTCTTCTTGCGATTCCTTTTTGTTTTTTTTTATAACTTTAAAGAACAAAAAAGTGATTTAATGCAAATTTATGATATATTTTAGAATTGAAGGTGAGAGATTTGAAGTCTCCATCTGCATGGCCTACAGTATGATATAAATGAACGCCCACAACATGCATTGTTTGAAGGAGGATTTGGATGAAACCGTGGTCGGCACAAACAGCCTATCGTTTTTTGTTGGGCTGACATGCACTGTTATCAGAGTAGGAAACATCCTTCACTTTTCTTCGTTTACTCTTTATGACACCCATTTATTTACTTATTTACATTAATGCTACCGGAAATTTTTTTAGTTTACGTATATGTGCAGTTGGAAATCTTTATTTTATTTTAAAAGTATATTTTTTTTAGGCTTAATTACATTTTTAATCTTTCAAGTATTGTAATTGGACAATTTTAATTTTCAAAATTTTAATTAGGTAATTTTAGTCTTTAAAAATTTATAATTGTGCGATTTTGATCTTTCAATTTTTAATTGAACAATTTTAGTCCTTCAAGTAGTCTCTCTCATTAAAAATTTAATAATTTTAATATATATATATATATATATATATA